AAAGATGTTGTGTCCACCCAAAACTAAAAAATAAATATTAAAAAATTCTCTCTCTCTCTCTCTCTCTCTCTCTCTCTCACACACACACACACTCTCTCTCTCTTTCAAAAAAAATTTAAAAAAAAAGAAAATTAGCTTTTTATTTCAAGTGAATGGAGTTTTTTCTTATATATAAAAGATTTCTGTTTCTGTTCATTGATTTTAAGTACAAATTTAAGGACAAGAATCATCAAGTTCCTGTAAAATTTTTCTAAAATGAAAAATAAGAATGCTTTGGAGGAAGACTGTATACAGTTTTTGTTTTATTTTATTAAACCAAATTTCACTAGGAATATTTGAGAATACAAAGATATACAAAGAAGATAACAAAAGGCCCATGTTTCTCTGCCTGGATAACCTCTAAAAACATTCAAGAAAATAAATAAATAAAAGATATAAGGTTAGGAAAAAATAAATCTCTAAAGCTGATCATTATGATTGCTTTTTAAAAATAAAAGTATGAGGGGTGTATGTGTGCATGCACATACACACTAATGTGAACTTCATCTACCTGTATATGTATTGCTTTTTATTTCTCAAATCATAACAAATGTTGTTTTTAACTTAATGAAATAGCTTGGCATTTTTCCCTCACTTCTCAATATTTCTTTAATGGCTATATATGATCCCATTGTGTGAATTTATCATATTTTAAAATTTAATTTTCCATGGACATCTGTGGACATTTAGGTTATTTCCAGGTTTTTTTTTAACTGAAAATCAATTCATGTACCATAAATTTCATCTTTATTATAGTACACAACTGAGTATTTTATTTATTTTTCATTTCTTTGAATATTTTCTTTTTAAAATTTTTAACTGTTGTATATTGATTATACAGAATAATGGGTTTCATTGTGACATATTCAATTCATACATGAAACATCATTTGATCAATTTAACACTCCAATACCTCCCCTTGCCCATCCCTCCCCCGACCTCCTTATTTACCCTATTGAGGATCTAATTTCATGGGCTCCCATTTTCCCCATTTTTTCTGTCTAGCTTCCACATATGAAAGAAAACATGGCACTTATCTTTCTGAGTGACTTATTTCACTGAACATAATTCCATCCAAATTTTCCTGAAAATGACATAATTTTATCCTTCTTTATGGCTGAGTAAAACTCCGTTGTGTATATACACCACATTTTCCTTATTCATATCTGCTGATGAACACCTACCCTTGTTCCATAACTTGGCTATTATGAATTGTACTATTGTAAATGTGGGAGTGCATGTATCTCCAAAGCATGCTGTCTCTAATTCTTTTGGGTAGATGATCAGGATGGTATAACTGTATCACATGATAGTTCCATTTATAGTTGGTTTGTGGTTGTTGTTTTGTCTCTGGTACTGGAAATTGAACAAAGGGTCACTTTAGTACTGAGCTCAATCCCCAGCCCCCGCCCCTTTTTTTTGTGTGGTGCTGGGGATTGAACTCAGGGCATTGTGCATGTGGGGCAAGCACTCTACCAACTGAGCTAATATCCCCAGATCCCCAGTATCTTTTATTTTGATACAGAGTCTCATAAGGTGTTTAGTGAGTCTCACAAAGTTGCTGAGTCTGGCCTCAAACTTGAGGTTCTCCTGCCCAGTCACTGGGATTACAGGCATGTACCACCAGCCATTTTTTAGGTGGGGTTTTTGTTGTTTTGTGTATTTGTGTATGTGTGTGTATTGATATCAAGAATTGAACCCAGGGGCACTTAACCACTGAGCCACATCCCCAGCCCTTTTTAAAAATTATTTTTTAGTTGTGGATGGGCACAATACCTTTATTTATTTATTTTTATTCGGTGCTGATGATCAAATTCAGTGCCTCACACACATGAGGCAAGAGCTCTACCACTGAGCCACAACCCCAGCTCACATCCCCAGTCCATTTATTTATTTATAGATAGACAGCATGCCTTTATTTTATTTGTTTATTTTTTATGCTGTGCTGAGAATTAAACCCAGTGCCTCACACATACAAGGCAAGCACTCTGCCTCTGAGCTGTGCATGCAAGGCAAGCACTCTACCAACTGAGCTATATCCCCACCCTGATACCTTGTTTTAAATTAGAGCTTTTCAATTATACATAAAGTTGGGTTCATCCCAACAAGCACACACCAGCCCTTTTTATATTTTATTTTGAGACAGGGTCTCACTAAGTTGCTTAGAGACTTGCTAAATTGTGGAGGCTGACTGTGAACTCCCAATCCTCCTGCCTCAGGCTCTCAAGCTTCTGGGATCACAGGCAATGCACTACCCTGCCATTTTTAAGTTTTTTGAGTAACCTCTGTACTGATTGCCATAGGGGCTGTACTAATTTATATTACCACCAGCACTGTACAAAGGTTCCCTTTCCCTCACATCCTGAACAACTGAGCATTTTAAAGTATATTTACCAGTTTGTGTATCCATCACCACTATTTAATCCTAGAGAATCCTCGTCACCACCAATAAAGAAAAAAAAGGTGATTGCCAAAAAAATTACTATGTAATCAACCACTCACAATACCCCAAGAGACCCAGGCCCTGGCAATACTAATAGGCTTGCTTTCTCTATGGATTTGTCCACTCTAGATTTTTCATAAAAATAGAATCACACAATATATGGTCTAATATAATATATACAAGGCTCATGATGTTATGAAGATCCAGATATCATGATGTATCAGCACTTCATTCCTTTTTGTTTTATTTTACTGTGGTGGAATACACATTATAAAATTTACCATCTTAACTGTTTTCAAGTGTACATTTCACTAGTATCTACACAGTTGTGCATCCGTGTCCAGAACTTCTCTTTAGTGCTTGGATTTGAATACAGGGCCTCATGAATAGTAAGCAGGCACTGTATGCATGAGCTACAACCCTAGTCTCTGAACTTTTAATCTTGTAAAACGGAAACTTTATGCCCATTAAGTGCATACTCCTCATTCTTGTCTCCATCCCTTCTTCCCAGGCCTGAGCAACCACCATTCTACTGAGCAGTCAAAAAGTTTGACTGCTGTGCTAGGGATTTGTTTCAGTGGTTGAGTGCTTGCCTAGTATGTTGCAAGGTGATGGGTTCAGTCCCCTGTGCCACACAAAGAAAGTTGACTTTTGTAGGTAATCCATATTAGTAGAATCATAATGGTATTTGTCTTTTCATGTCTGGACTATTTCAGTTAGCATAATATCCTCAAGATTCATTCATTATTTGTATCATATCTCAGAATTTCCTTCCTTTTCAAAACCAAATATAATACAGAAGAAGGAAATGGAGAGAGAATGGAGGGATGGGTAAGGGGAGGCAATGCAGAATTATTTCTTTTTAAAATCATGTTATGTGCATATATAAATATATCACAGGGAATTTCACCTTTGTGCATAAGTAAAAAGAACTAATCAAATATAAATAAATAGATGAGTGAAAGGAAGTCTAGTAGAGTACAGGAAGAAGAATGGAAGAGGAGAGAGAGGGACAGAAAATGGAGGGATCATGAAATAAGATCAAATTCCATGCAGGTGTGTGCTTGTGGTGATGAACCCAACTTGTATGTATAATTGAAAAGCTCTAATTTTTTTTTTAAAAAGGTATCAGGGTGGGGATATAGCTCAGTTGGTAGAGTGCTTGCCTTGCATGCACAAGGCCCTGGGTTCAATCCCCAGCACCTCACACACACAAAAAAAGATATCAAGGAAAAAGTCAGCATAATGAAAAAAAATAAATAAATAAAAGGGAGAACAATATACTAAAGAAAAAAACTAAATATATAATCACATTTTGTTTATTTTTTCATCCATTTGAAAATACTGTGTTGCTTCCACCTTTGGCTATTATGAATAATGCTATAATGCTGCAGTGAACATAGGTGCACAAATATTGACAGGATCTCTCTGAGTTGCTTAGGGCCTCACATCCTAGCCGCTGGGATTACAGGCTTGCACCACAGAGCCCGCTTATGCAAGAGTTTATGTCTGGATTTTCTAATCTATTGGTCTGTATATCTGTCTTAATGCCAGTATCACACTATTTTGATTACTTAGCCTTGTAATAAGCTTTGAAATCAGGAAGTAGAGATGTCTAATTTTGTTCTTTTTCAAGATTGTTTTGGTTATTTGGAGTCCCATATGAATTATACAATGGATTAATCTATTTCTACAAAAACTGCCCCTGGGATTTTAATAGGATTGCATTGAATCTGTAGATCACTTTTGATATTATTGACAGCTTAATGATATTAAGTTTTTAAAGACATGAGCATAGGATATCTTTCTATTTGTGTCTTTAATTTGTTTCAGCAACATTTTTTAGTTTTCAAGAGTACAGCTTGTTTAAGTTAATTTCTAAGGGGTTTTTTTGCTGCTTTTTTATGAGTGATAAGAGTAGAATTTAGGTGCTGGGGTTGTGGCTCAGTGGTAGAGCACTTGCCTTGCATACATGAGGCACTGGGTTCAATCCTCAGCACCCCATAAAAATAAATAAAATAAAGATATTGTGTCCATCCACAAATAAAAAAAATATTTTTTAAAAAAGAGTAGAATTCATTGAAAAATAAAACAAGAACAGAACTCTCACAGTGAGGAGAACCGATAGCAGGTTTTCCCTTTTTGATGCTATTTTAAATAGAATTATTTTGCTCATTTTTAAATTATTCAGTGTGTGGAAATACAATTGACTTTTGCATAATTTTATTCCTTGAAATTTTGCTGATTTGTTACTTCTTTTTAAAATTGGTGCCTTATAATTATACATAATAGTGGAATTTGTTGAGATATATTTATATATGCAGGTAACATAATCTGGATTGTTTCACTTAGCTTGTTGTTCTCTAGTTCTATTCACGTTCCTGCAAATGATGTAATTTTGTTTTTTAAAACCATAATATTGCTAACACTATCTCTCAGAAATCTATTTGACTGACAGAAGTTTCAAGTTCAGAGAGAGGTGACTATCACAACATTCCACTTCCTTTTTGAAAAATCCTCATTTTATTATTTATTTGTTTTTGCAGTACTGGGGATTGAAACTAGGGGCGCTCTACCACTGAGTTACATTTCAGGCCCTTTTTATCTTTTATTTTGAGACCAGGTCTGTCTAAATTGCTGAAGCTGGCCTTGAATTTGGGATCCCCCTTCCTCAGCCTTCTGAGTAGCTGAGATTTAAAAAGTGTATGCTACTACATCTGGCTGAAAAAGTCACATTTTATTTCAAAGACTAAATTAGAAGATAAAAAGAGAAATTGCTTCTGAAATGAAATAATTTATTTTACAGATTTTCATACAGGATAATAGGTTCATTCTTTACTTTGACTATGTAGACAATCTGAAGAAAATTAATTTAGGTTTTGGGAATTAAATAACCTGCCTTTCTTGACTCCAGCATTTAAAAAATTTAATACAGTTCCTTGTAGATAACATTTTTTTTCCCCCTCAACCATCTTCATTGATCTGTTCTTTCTGCCTGGAATACACTTCCTGCTTTTCTTCTACTAATTCTTATTTATTTGGTAAAATTGTTTAGTCACATCCTCCGGCAACCCTTCAGGAGTCCCTGATGGCCTAGGGGGTCTTTCCTTTGTGTCCTTTCAACACTGTATGCTTAGTTATTTCCATGACACTTAACATTTTATATTCGTTTGTTCTCCTGGACTAAAGAGTAAGTCTTAAGAATGAAAAATGTGTTTAATTTATTTCTTTATCCTCAGCATTTAATATTATCTTGCACACAGGACACTTAGTAGATTATTTATTTGAACAATAGAGACCATTTGAGTTATTATCACAGTAAAATTGTTAATCATACCTATACATTCAATTTTAGAATCCAGCCAACGCTTTAGTAAAAAAAAAATACATTCAGGTAATTTGCATGTGCTAAATGTTTATTTGTTTTGCTGGAACCAAGAAAATGATGAGCAAAAATTCTCTTTTACCTCCAAATTCGACTCCTTTAACATCACCACCATGGTTATCTTATTCTCTCTCCTTTGCTTTCTCCTCAAACTGCAGAATGAAGAGCTTGCCGTTTTCTATCTGGGAGGCGGGCAGCGGAGGGAACCGAGTTTGTCACAGAAGGGGAGGAGGGTCTACAGCCTTGCTAGTATTAAAAGGGAAAACTCTGCTCAAGCGCCAAAGCGCACAGCCAGAGAAAGGAAGGCGAGCAGGAAGTCATTTCACAAGCAGAGCTGAGCTGGCAAGGCAGCAAGACACACAGGGACTGAGACTGCTTAAGAATATCGCAGATACTAGAGATTCAAGGTAACTACTCCATTGATCTCCTTGTTTTTCCTTTCCAGTAAACTGCTTCTGGAATTCAGGAGCTTCTGCATTTGAGCTGGGGATGCGCATGTCTCTGTTTGTCCTTTCTCTATACGGAGAGAGGACTGCATGTTAAACCTGCTGATTGGAAAGCAGGCTACAGATCCAAAAATAGGGGAGGCTCTTTCTGCAGGGCAATTCTGAAAACTCAGATTGCCTTTTATCATTTGGTTAATTGAAAAGTAAAATTTTTGTTTGTTTTTAAGCACCTGGGTACTGGCATTTCATTTTTATGAGCAGGCTAAAAGCCATAAGTATAAACTAATTGGAAAAGGAAGGGAATGCTACTGAGGATTTTTTCCTGCAAGTAGAAGAAAAACTATTTCTTATTTCTTAAAGTTGTTTTCTCCTTTTGTTTACACTTCCAGTTCAGCTGTTATCTTCTCTGATTTTGTGTATCTCTTAATTGGAGCATCAGAAAAGGTGGGAACCACATTTAAAATTGGTGGATTCATTTTATAAGTGAGTGTATATTTCAGACAAACTGGTCAGAGAGGGGAGAGAGAGAGGAACGGAGGGCAAAGAAGGAAGAGGAGGGAGAGGAGAAAAAAGGGAGAGAGGGGGAAGAGATTAGGACAGAAGGATTTCAGATTTAATAAAATTGGAAGTTGGTCATTTATAAATTGTCTGATTTCCTTAGAAAACTCTTTACATTTTCAGGAAGAAATCAGGCATCTTAAGAAGAGATAATACTATAGTTTGTTTTCATATATTTGACATTTTTTTTTCCTTTAGAAACAGTGGATCTTGGTTCTAAGTACTACAATTAAGAAGATTATTTGTAGAAAGGGAAGGATGAACTTGCTACTTTCCTCAGTGCCTTTGAAACATTGAAGTGTAAAGCTAAGTTCTTCTGGGCTTGCAGTATACAGCTGGGTTTAAGGACTTTTTTTTTTCATCTGGTTTAAATCATTACTTTACACATTGTCTCATTTACTTCCTCCTTTACAGAGATTTTTATTTCTTTGATTTGCTGAGGCAAATAACCACAAATCCTTATCAACCTCTGATTTATACACAATAAATGAGACATTTCAAGATTCCTTAAAAAACATTTGCCAAGCAAGCATTTCAAAAACTGATGGATGGTTAGATTTGAATGAATTGCTTTTTGCTTCCTTGGGAGCAAAACCAGTTGAACAGAAAATACTAAGAAAGGAAAAGGAAGAATATTAAAAGATTTTTATATGCAAATTGCAAATACATGCAAACAAATAATAATCTTTCTATTTGGGAAGTATACCCTTCTTGACTTCATGTTATGATAATATTCCAGGGGCTCTTTCGAATTAGACTTTTTTCGTTAGTGAGGGAACCACCTCCATTTTTATTTCTTAAAAAAAAAAAAAAAAACTCTTCTCAGATTCTAGCTTTCAGTGTAAAATTTCTCAGAGAAAAATTATATTTGTGTTTAAAAACATATTTGTGATTGTACCAAAGAGAGGAAGCAGTTAAACGTCCCACACAGCTCTAGGCTTAACTTTTCTTCTTCTGACTTCTTCCTCCAGAAACAAAGGCTGGGTCATTAGAATTCAGCTAAAAATTTTGTACTTAATGTAAGAGGCAAAATCTAATACCCAGCTTGACTCCTCAAATTGAATGTGACTCTCACTTATAGGATTTTAAACTACTAGTTGACCTGGGCAGAAGTCTCTTCAAAGCAACAAGAAAGAAAAGCAAATAATAAATTTTCACTACTGTTTTTCAAATGCTTATTTGTGCTATAAAATGATCTGTTTTATTGTACAATGGGGAAAAGCATTTGGGACTTTTGTCATTGTTTTTGGAAGAAATAAATAAGACCTCTTTTATATTCAGAATCCTGCAAAATCTAATATATGTACACTTCTTGTTCTTAAATGTGTATTCAAAATGAATTTCTATAAATGGATTTCCTTTTTTTTTGATACTGAGGATTGAACCCAGGGGTGCTTAACCACTGAGCCACATCCCTAGCCCTTTTTAAATATTTTTTTAGAGACAGGGTCTCACTGAGTTGCTAAGTGCCTCGCTAAGTTGCTAAGGCTGACTTTGAACTTGTGATCCTCCTGCCTCAGCCTCCTGAGCTGCTGGGATTATAGGCATGCACCACCACACCAGCTTCTAAATGGAATTCTAGTCATATACTGTGGGATTGTGAAAATAATGTCACATTTTAGTGTGATTTAGTGTTACATTTGTTTGTTGGTGATTTACTCATCATTCATTAATTATTTACCACAGGCTTGCTAATCACCAGACTCAGTGCTGGGGATTCGGAAGTTTAAATTAAGATTACTTTGTGGGGCTGGGTTTGTGGCTCCGTGGTAGAGTGCTCGCCTAGCATGCATGAGGCAGTGGGTTCAATACTCAGCACCACATAAATGTAAAATAAAGATATTATGTCCACCTAAAACTTAAAAATAAATTTAAAAAAATATGCCCAGTTGCTTCTGACAATTAAGGTCTCTAGGATTACCAACATCTTTAAAAAAAAAAAAAGATCACTTTGTGGGCTGGGGCTATAGATCAGTGGTAGAGCACTTGCCTAGCATGCATGAGGCACTGGGTTCCATCCTCAGCACCACATAAAAATAAAATAAAAGGTATTGTGTCCACCTACAACTAAAAAATAAATCTTTTAAAAGAGATTACTTTGTTGCCTTAGGCCCAAACAGATAAATAAATAAATAGTTCTAGTTCTAGTATGGGCTGAAAAATTCTCCAATAGAGATACTTATAAACTGCAGTGATAATGAATATAAAAGAATGGGATGAAAAGTTAGGATATTTCATTTTAGCAGGATTTCAGTGGATCGCTATGAGACTTCTTTTGCCATAATCAATTCAGTGAAAAGCAATCTTTTATTGCTTTTCCTGAGACAAGCTAAGGAAACTAATGTAACCTACCATCTGTTAAGCATTTATGATATGCCAGGTGGTGTGTTAAGTATTTTATTTGCCTTAAATATAATTTTCTCATCTTATTAATTAGGGTATTTTATTGTATCCGTTTTCTGGAAAGGAAATTGAGGCTCAGAGAAAAAAAAATAGTTTGCCTAAAATTATTCAGCTAGGGGCTGGGGATATATGAGTGCTTGCCTCACATGCACAAGGCCCTGAGTTCAAACCCCACCCCAACACACACACAAAAAATTACTCAGCTAGTAAGTAGCAGACCTGGGATTATATTATATTATTTCACAAGGAGGGACCAGGAGCTTGGGATGGTTAGAGTAAAACAAGACATTTCAAGCAGAAGGAATCATAAGTTTGGGGCATGTGAACATGAAAAAGTGGATGAGTTTGTGGAACTGACCTCATTGCATTGTTACAAATAATTAATTGAGTGATCACATGAAAAGGGATCAGAAGAGCACTGGTATATAGTAAGTGCTTCGTAAATGTTAGCTATTTTTAGTACAGCTCATATATTACTACTATTACTGTTACGTTAAGGAGTAGAAAGCCATATGAGTTGTTTTTTTTAAATCCAAGATTTTCAAGTTTAATAAAGAAATAGGAGGAGGTTGACCTTATTTGGGACTTGAATTGGTCTTTGAAGTACAGGTGGATGTCAAGGAGAAGGAATAAGGTTTTACAGGGGTCGGGGAGATGTGAATAAAGACAAAAGACAAAATGAAAAACTCACAACCCCCCACCCTCCAAATTTAAAGCAAACATCATTGACAATGATCAATGACCTTTATCTTTTTATTTTCTATGTGTAAAAAAGTCTTGGCAGATAATGATCAAAAGGGAGCAGTATAGCATAGTAGTTAATAACATGGACACAGGTGTGCTATTGCTTGAATTTGGACATCAGCAAAACTACTTATTAGACATATGTTGGACAAGGTTTTTTTTTTTTTTTTTTTTTTTTTTAATCAGGGATAAACTCATCAGCTAAGAACAATACCTAGTGCATAGGAAGTCCTATATAGTATTAGGAATTCTTGTAGATAGCTTTAAATTCCAAGGTAAGGGGTTTGAATTTGATGTATAGGCAAAATGGAACCACCAGAGATTGTTAAACAGATATGACATGATAACAACTAATCTGATAGCAAAATTTTAAATACCTTGGTTTGGCTGTGTGTTAGCAGGAGAGAATAAATATGACTGGGTAGCAACCAGAGATGGACAGACCAAACTGTAGATTCTTATATGAGTGAAGAATAAGAATAGGAAGTAGCAATAATAAACTGTATGCAAGAGATATCATAAAGAAATAATTTCTAGGTTAGTGAGAAATATGGATGAGAAGAATGAATAAATCAATAGCATGTCTGAGGTTTCTGAATTTCAAATTTAGACTACTGAAAAAATTGTGGTACTACTGATGGGAGGAAAAGTCAGAAAATTTGACCTGTTTGGGCTGGAAACATGAAGAGAAATAATTTTTTTTTAAGAGAGAGTGAGAGAGGAGAGAGAGAGAGAGAGAGAGAATTTTTAATATTTATTTTTTAGTTCTTGGCGGACACAACATCTTTGTTGGTATATGGTGCTGAGGATCGAACCCGGGCCGCACACATGCCAGGCAAGCGCGCTACCGCTTGAGCCACATCCCCAGCCCGAGAAATAATTAATAATAACTTACTTTTTAAAAAACACTTTGATGTACATGAGTGATTTTGAACATGCTGAATTCAAGGTGCTGCCAGGGCAGTCAGAAAATGTTGCTAATATAGAACTGAAGTTTAGGAAAGAGGTCAGGATTTGCAAATCATAGAGAACGTGTACAAGGGTGTACATTACATCAGGAAGTTGAAAGTAATCTGGGTTTTCAATCACTGGGAGAGTGAATGGTAAATGTGGTGGGTGCATATATATCTAAAACCATAAAATCCATTTTGCAAGAATGCATACAAACAAAAAGATATATACTAAACTTATCAGAATGGTTGCCTGTGTTGGGGGCAGTGACAGAAATGGAAATAGAGTAAGAGAATAAAGTAAAAGAATTAAATGAGCATCATTGAGAGGGGGCCTTGCATGAACTGTGATAACCTGCCATCATGAAATGAGGAATTACTATCGTCAGAAACATGTGCATTTAGAAGGACATTAGGAATCATTGCAAAGCTAAATCATGCACTATTTTTTCTATGTTGTCATCCTCAAGCTTAGTTAATTAGTAAAAGGTCATGCTTTTGCTTGAGTTTCTTGATATGTACAATGTGTATGTGTGGAAAAATTTTTGCTTATAAACAGAATAGGGACATCCTGTAAATCCTTACTTAAAACCAATTTGTTTTGCTTTTGCAGGTCAATATGGCCATGCCAGAAAAATCCAGTTGTACCAAACCAAGTGAGGATTTCAGTCATTTCCCTCAGATTATTGAACTCAATGTCGGTGGTCAAGTGTACATCACTCGCTATCCTACTTTGATCAGCATTCCTGGTTCCCTGCTCTGGGAAATGTTCAGTGAAAAGAATCTTTGTTCCCTGACCCAGGACAACAAAGGGAGGTTTTTCATAGATCGAGATGGTTTTCTCTTTCGTTATGTGCTAGACTACATGAGGGACCGGCAAGTAGTGCTTCCTGACCACTTTCCAGAGCACGGTCGGCTCCAGAGAGAAGCAGAATACTTCAGGTTGCCAGAACTGGTCAAGATGTTGGCTCCTAAAATGAATAAGCTCAACTCAGTTGGCAATGACCTATGCCAAAATGACCTAGAAGAGCTATCTCCCAGCATTGACACCATGTTTAATCCCTCTTCAAGTAGTATTGTCCATATTAGTGGCCCTGATAACCCTCTAGCTCTGACAACAGGTGCTGGTTCTCATCTCAAGAAGGCAGGCTTCATCACTATAGGCTATCGAGGCTCTTATACTCTGGGTCGGGACAGCCAAACAGATGCCAAATTCCGCCGTGTGGCCCGAATCATGGTGTGTGGTAAGATCTCCTTGGCCAAAGAAGTGTTTGGAGATACTCTGAATGAAAGCAGAGACCCTGACCGTCCTCCTGAGAGATACACTTCTCGATACTATCTCAAATTCACTTTTCTGGAACAAGCCTTTGACAGACTAGCTGATGCTGGCTTCCACATGGTAGCATGCAACTCCACTGGCACCTGCACTGTCACACATGACCAAACAGATGACAAGATCTGGACCTCTTACACTGAATATGTTTTCTACCGTGAGTGACACTAAAAAAAACAAAAAAATCACCTGGAAAATACAAACCGAAAAGTCAACTCTCTTTCCTCTCTCTGTTCTAGTGTCAACTATCTCCTTTAGAAATAGACACATTACTCTTAGGCCTTGAGTCCTCTGTCTAATCATGGACAATGTCACCCCCGTCACTGTAACCAGTTGAACCTTATTTGGCATTTTCTTCTTACACATCATGCCATTTTATCTGGCTTCCAACCTGCCTTGTGTTGTATATTTGGATACCTTCTGAGGGAAAGTATTAAATGTGAATAGGCATGTCTATTCACATCGCTATAGATAGTAGAAATGAATTTGTTGGGTGAATACAGATAGAGCCACAAAATTTAGTTAGTTGAGAAATGCTGAGCCATGGTTTCCAAACTTTCTTAGCACTCCACCAAAGTGTGGATATACTTACATGACTTATTATCTGTATTCACCTAGGTAAAGCCCTGTATTCTCCATTCTGAGCTAGAGATTGCTATAGTAATATGCTATTTTTTCTTTTTGCAGTAGTGGGATCGAATTCAGATCTTGCATCCATGCTAGGCAAGGCTTTTACCACTGAGCTACATCACCAGCTCAGGAATATGCTTTTTAAAAAGTGAACACACACACACACACACAGTTGCTATTATTTTACCAGGCTTAGTGGAAGAAGTTGACAAGGGTCCTCCAAAAGGTTCATAGAAAGATCAACCAATTCTCAAACTATCAATTGCTCTTAACAGAATGTGGGTGAAAAGACCAGGTGTGGTAGCACATGCCTATAATTTCAGCTACTCAGGAGACTAAGGCAGGAGGATTACAGTTTTGAGAATATCCTGGACAACTTATCAAGGCCCTGTCTAAAAAGGCCTGAGGATGTAGCTCAGTGCTTACCTAGCATGTGTAAGGACCTGGATTAAAAAAAAAAGGTGGGTGAAGAAAACAATTTCTTAAGTGATTATTTTCAAGAATAAAAGGCTTGGCACTAAAATTCATTTTACCTGAGAAAAATAGGATGAGTACCATGGCTATTACACAGGTATAAGCAGATATGCCATTTTAAAACACTGCCCCCAAATACCTGTCTTATTCATTAGCATTGTAGATATGGGAAGGGTAAGAAAAGTATGTAGATAAGGGAAGGATAAGAAAAGAATTGTTTTATGTAAATATATATATATATATATATATATATATATATATGTGTGTGTGTTAATTTGGTTTTCACTGGTCAAATAGTTGGATGTATATGTCAGCTGTTAACTTGTTTTTTTCTTGACTAGCTGAAGTGAATATGTATGTTTTTATCTGGGAGTGGGAATGGGAGAAGGTAGAAGATGAAGAGGAAAAAAGAGAACTAAAAAAACAATAAATAAAAATTCATCTTCTGAAGCCTCTACTGATAACTTTTTATTATTAGGTTGAAAGTAAACACCCTCATACAAAAACATCAGGGAATTGAGACAAATGATTGGCTTGCTGGAGATGATGAGACAAGTCAAGAAAAAGAAACTTTGAGGGCCCACTTTAGAAGATCTTTATCACTATTTTGAATAGCTTTATAACACCCCAGTGATCAAATATCCTTCTCTTCCTTTATTCTTTGCTTTTTTGTCCCAACATCAGCCTCTATTTGTGCTTGTTACCTTTCAAATGATTTTCTAGTCAGGTTTCTTGGATTGCAAGGAACTAAAACCCATTTAAAAGTGCATACATGCATCAGGGGTGTGATTGGGTGGGCATTTTAAAGATCTGTTTGCCTTACAGAGACCAATAACAGGAAATTAAGTCCAATTGAGTTTCAAAGGCCTGGGGAGGTGTTAAGAACTGTTCTCTCTTGTCTTTCAGAAGCCACATAGCTCTTCTTTCATCATATCCAGAATCTATTAGTTCCATATTTCTCCTTCCACACAGATCACCTTCTTTTCCTCAGCTTGTACCTGGCTTAAACAGTCATGTCAGCTCTTATGTGAACAGGAATTATTAGCCATTGTTTCCATAGTTAACTTTATTGTTGTTGTTTTTTTTTTCTGGTACCAGGGATTGAATCCAGGAGTGCTTCACTGCAGAGCCACATTCCCAGCCCTATCATTTTCATTTTTAAAAACAGGAAGCAGGCTTCTAAAATATAAGATTATGGAAATGGAGGAAAGGCATTCAAGTGCTGGTTGGCCCTAAACATGGCAAAGGTCTGAGACTCAGAAGAAAGTCAATTGAAGTGGAAAAAGTGTTAAATGTGTTAAATCATCCATGTGGGGAAAACTTGCAATATCATCAATGTTAGCTAATGAAACTTATTTTATATATCAATTTTTTAAAAAATATTATCATTGGTTCTATATCTTCAAAGCAGTTTTAGGAATTTGCATTAGTTTGAAGAAAAAAAAAAACACCAAAAACCCAGCTGACATTATTATGTGTTACTTCACCAAAGTAGCAGTTATCTTTTTAACATAAATTTTCTGTAACTTATTTTTTAAGGTAGTGAAGTTCAAACTTTGGCTAATGAAAATTTAAAAAGAAAAAATTTTTACTGGGATTTCTGTTATATTAAACAAATAAAAGTAATGAACAGGCCACTCAGCTAATATCCAATGTCTTATATTTATCTGGGAATCATAAGGTTCTATGGTTCAAACCATAAGCATGGTTTAAGAACTAATTGTTTTGAAGTCAAACAGATTAGTGCTCTAAGAGGGCAGAGGTGAGGAATTTTAGACAATGTACAGAATCAGCTTAATGAGGAACTTGTGAAAACCCCTAATTTTAATTTCCCTTAATGGAAGAGAACTTGGCTACTGAAGAAGTTGTTAGTGTTTCAAGGAGAAAATTGACTTTACAATCATTAATTTGACCTAATATCTAATTTTTAGTTAATACCAATTTATACATGGCAGACATAGTCTTGGGTATTTATTTGTGTTAATTTTTTTTAGAGAGAGAGGGAGAGAATTTTTTAATATTTATTTTTTAGTTTTCGGTGGACACAACATCTTTGTATGTGGTGCAACCCGGGCCGCACGCATGCCAGGCGAGCGCGATACCGCTTGAGCCACATCCCCAGCCCAACTTGTGTTATTTAATTCCTAAAACTTATCCTGAGAAATTGGTACTGTTACACCAGTTAGTTTGAGAAAAACTTTTTTTTTGGTACGGGGGATTGAACCCAGGTACACTTAACCACTGAGTAACATTCCCAGCCCATTTTATTTTTTTATTATGAGACTGGGCCTTGCTAAGTTGCTTAGAGCCTTGTTAATTTGCTGAGGCTGACCTTGAACTTGCAATCCTCCTGTCTCAGCCTCCTGAACTGCTGGAATTATAGGTGTGAGCCACTAAGCCTGGCAATGTGTATATTTTAAGAACAGAAAAGTTATCGAGAGATAAGTAGCAGTCTCTTAATTCAGGTTCTTTTGTAGAACCTGAATCTAAGGGAGCTATAATTAATCATGTAATTAATCATTTATCTACTGTTTCAAAAAAAATCCATCAAGTACCTAACAACCCACCCCCTAGAGCAGACCAGTACCTCCTGATCCACTCCTAAAACTTCTAGTACTTTTTGTTAATAAGGTGAACCAGTTAGTAATGACCTGTTTTTGAAATATGATTAAAGTTTCTCTCTCCCACAGACTATAGGCCCCACATCTTGCATATCATTTTACCTCTAATGCCTGGCACATGATAGGTGATCAAAGTATATTTGTTTCATAAATGAATAATTGATCACCTTCCTAATGAATGAGAGTTATGCATCAGGACTGGGGGTTATGTGGTAAGAAAGGCAAAACATTAAATACATGGTACACACTGATGATATCCTATGCTTAGTGATACCTGATTCTGGACCTAAACTGATGTAGGGATCAATATGGTTTGAATACCTTTCTCTGTGCTGAAAATAAATTAAGATAGAAGGTACACAAACCATGCACTAATCAAACATAGGGTGTGGAATTTCTCTAACAGTAAAACACAACCCAAAAATAAAAACTACTAGAAACTTTAGGGACAAGGTGAGAACCAAATACAAATTTGTATGTAATAATTATGTGGAGAATCTTAAATCTGATTTCACTATGGCTTATATACTTCTATTTTTAAAGAATAGTTAAATTAATTTGTGGTTCAGATTAGTTTTCAGTTGTTGAGATTTTAAAAGAAGGCATGTGGGGGCTGGGGCTGAGGATCAGAGTTAAAGCACTTGACAAGCATGAGGCACTGGGTTTGATCCTCAGCATCACATAAATATAAAATATATTGTGTCCACCTAAAGCTAAAAAGTAAATATTAAAAAAGAAGGCATGTGGCAAAGTTAGAGTGTCACTAAGAAAATCTGGCAGGCTGCTTAGTTACCTTGGTGAATTCCTTACAGTTAAGATCTGGCCCTGAGCCTAGTTAGCTCAGAAACATGTTTATTCACAGTAGACAAGCTCACAAGGGGCTGATTTTACCCATTATTCTACCTGTGAAAACCTCTGTGCATTAAATTATTAATTTATAATAATATATAACTTGTCAGACCATAGGATTGTACTCAACAAAGAGTGCATTGTGTCATTTAGTCATATATATATATATATATATATATATATATGTAAAACAAGATTATAATGGTTGTTTATATATTACTTTTTGCAGTAGTTTTTAAATTTTAAGAAAATTAGAACTTTTCTGTAATAAAATTTGCAAATATTTTCCCTGAAAAAAACAAAAAGATTATAATACCAAGATTGCTTGGTTAGCCTAGAATCAGAACTTGGAGTCAGGGATTGCTGTGACTTAGAAGTTACTATATCTTTAAACTGACTGTGTATAGCTCTGATCTGACCACTGTGTGTGAATCTCATAACATCTCTTAGAGGGCCCTCTTATTTCCTACTCTATACATAGTCTGATTCCCAGAGGCTAATTCTTAATCAACACACAATTCTGGATGTGCAATCCTGGAATTGTGAGAGTCCTGTGAATGCTATAGGTAGGCAAGATTGTTTCTGCAACTCATTTTATAGGGTACAAAGTGATTATGGAAGTGACATATGTGAGAATGAAAAGAATACCTAGGCTGGTTCACAGCATTGTCAAATATCTGCCCAACTTGCCTTTCCAATGTAATGCCAGATTCGTGGGACCCCAATAGACCTCCAGAAGCCGAATCCAATGCAATCACACAAGAGTCTTTATTGCAAGCTTGAGCCTGGACTCACAACCATTCCCAATGCAGTGGTCCCAGGGAGTGAGTCCCAGTCCTTTGTTCAGTGAGATCATTCCATACTTCGGGAAAATTAAACATTCCATTGTTAGACCAGGACGCAAGAAAAGACCACTGACTCCAATTAAAATCAAATTAAAGCAAGGTTATTATTTCCACCGGCCGGGCTGCCTCTCCCCCCCCAAAACCGCGGGAACAAGACAGCAGCCACAGCTTTCCTGCAGCCCAGCTTTATAGCCCAGAAAGTTACGCAAAAGGGGGTTACAGATAACAGAACTCTGATGAGCATCACACGAATGGTAGTTTACATTTTGTTGCTGGCCCCAACATCAGAATTTATGAGGATCATTAGAGCCTCAGAGAGGGTCGTCGTTTGGCCAGGGAAGGCCAAGATTTGTTTCAGAGAGGGCTGCTATCTGGTCAGAGAGCCAGGCATGGGTAAGTTCAAGGCACGGGCAGGCATTCCAAGCAGGTTCAGAATTTGCAGTAATTTATAGTAAAGCCGAAATTATCTTTTCATGGCTTTGTGGCGAGATGGCTCCCAATTTTAAGAAAAGATCAGTTTGGATCTATCATCCATACCACGGGAAATCATTCCATACCTTGGAAAAATTAAACAACA